CTATTCTATTCTATTCTATTCTATTCTATTCTATTCTATTCTATTCTGAAACTTCAACTTCAGAATCGGGCTGCGCGAATACGCTAGTAGTGTGGCGCAGTGCTTAGAGTGCAAGCACAGTTCGCCAGTTCGAATCCGTTCAGGGACCCTGGCAGGCGGGCTGGTTGCTGTCACCCAGCGCAAGGGTCTCCAACCTTGGCTACTTTAAGACTTGTGGACTTCAACTCCCAGAATTCTTCAAAGCTGGCTGAAGAAATCTGGGAGTTGAAGTGCACAAATCTTAAAGTGGCCAAGGTTGGAGACACCGATTCCCAGCGCGCGCCGTCCTCCTCCAATCCAGCCATCCGGCGGCGGTCCGTCAGGCAGAGGCCGTCTCACCTTCTCGCGCCAGCCGCTCCGTCTCGCGCAGCTCCTCTTCTTTGTCTCCCAAGAGGCGAATCCGCGCCGCCAACGCCGAACGGAAGCCTCCGGGCTGCTCTTCCGGCTGGCAGTGCTGATCCAAGAAACGCCGAAGCGCCGGTCTGGCGAATAACTCGCGCAAATCCGGCTGGCTGCTGAGCCAGCGTCGCGGCAGGATTTGGCCGCCCCATCGCGAACGAGCGGCAGGCGCCGAGGGAAAAGAAACGGCGAACTTCCGCCAGGCCGGTCGACTCCGGCCGAAGCACCACCACATGCCGGGATCAAACTCAGCGTCAAAGTTCCGCTTCCCGTCCCGTCGCTTGGAGCAATGACTATCAAAGTCGCCGCTCTTTCCTCCGCTCTCTTTGATAGATACCAAGAAATGCGAAACAAATGAGGACAAGAGTTAGTTCAGGTTGTAGTTCGCGTTTCTATGCGGGGCACTGTCATATCACAAAAGAGGGAACATCTGCCCCTTCGAATAGAATAGAGCTGGAAGGGACCTCGGAGGTCTTCTAGTCCAGCCCTCTGCTCAAGCAGGAGAACCTATACAATCTCAGACAATGCCAGTTGCCAAGCTTCCAAATGTTGATCATGGGGATGCTGCAACGGTCATAAGCATGAAAAATGATCATAAGTGACTGTCCAGTCTCTTCTTAAAAACCTCCAGTGATGGAGCACCCATTATTTCTGGAGGCAAGCTCTTCCACTGGTTAATTCTCCTCACTGTTAGGAAGTTTCTCCTTAATTCCAGGTTGCTTCTCTCTTTGGTTAGTTTCCAACCATTGTTTGTTGCCCTGCCCTCTGGTGCTTTGTAGAATAATTTGACCTCTTCTTTGTGGCAGCTCCTCAAATACTGGAATACTGTTATCATTTTGCCCCTACCCCAAATCTTCTTAAGGAAAGAATGGGGTTGAAGAAGAGCTGAAGAAGCTTGTTGGTTGAGAAGTGAAACGTCACTGAAGGCTTTTAAGAAGAGATTGGACTGCCATTCGTCAGAAATGGTGTAGAGTCTCCTGCTTGGGGGGTGGTGGTGTTAGACTAGATGACCTACAAGGTCCCTTCCAACTCTCTTAATCTGTCTGTCTTCAAATACGTGTTTTTTTTTTCGTTTGTGAACATGAAGTATAATGTTTGGGTGTTATCACCATCTCTCTTTGTCAATTTATTTAAGAATCTTAGAGAGAGAGAGAGAGAAAAAGCTAGGGCCAGGCTAATTGGTCCTCGACGTTCGGAAACCCGATTCGAAGAACTGCGACAAATGCCGAAAATTGCCGAAGGTAGTTCCGAAGCTTGATTAGCTTTCTATGGTTAGTTCGGCAATGATCGGAAATGCGCTGGCTTTAGCCGGGCTCGGATGGGTCGGAAGCGAGAGGAATGCCGAAGCTACGTGGCGTGTATTGAATTAGACTACAAGAGTTTTATTTAGTTTTTTCCACAACTGCGCTTAGGCATCCCTGTTTGCTGGTCTTTCAGAAAGTCATAAAATCTCACAAAATCCAAACTGTTTCAGAGAACTTTCCATGATGAGACTGCTGCTGCCAACTCTACTTGTATAGCTCTTATCTGGGCTTATATGACATGGTTTTCATTTTCATATTGTTGCAGTTGTGTTAATCTTATGGATATTTCAACTTGTGTTGGTGCTACATAAACCCTTTTCTAAATCAAACAAACTGTGACAGAATTAGAGGAATAAATATGTCCTGTCTGCCAGAAGGCATTAATACTGGAAGGAAGGAAAA